CCCAAAATATCTTCTGTGTTTCTATATATTGGTAAATAATATCATAATATATCTAGTTTCTCAAGCTATACATCTCAGATCCATGATTCACTTTAGAAGTTTCCTGTTGATTTCTAAATCTATTCTGTTTTCCCAGTATTCACTGTTACTGCATTGATTTATCCTCTTCCTCTTCTTCCAGTACTGCTGCCTGCGATTTTCTTCCAACTTCAATCTGTGCTGTATAAAACAATTTAGATTATTCACTTAAAAGCACCCATTGGCTCTTCATTGTCTGTATTGCAAAGAATCTTAGGATTATTTGAAAGGGAGGCAGGTCAGAATCTCAAGTGAGTTATCATGTGTATTGTGAAGAAATGTTTTTGGGACTAAAGAAATAGGCAACAAAAAAGTAAAATTGCATGAAATAATCTTGGATGCTTAAGTTAGGTATGAATGAAGTTAGCATGAATGAAGATGTTACGTAAGAAGTTGAGGTTTTTTTCCCCTCATCCCCCTATAAAGTTTTCCATTAATATTTTGTCAGAATCCTACAGTGACAATGTCTATCTATGTTGATGCCTACAAATTTTATTACAGTCCACAACCTGTGGTCTATTTACACTTTATTCCTGAAACTTGCCATTCCATATCCTTTCTGTAATCATTTCCTGTTGCTGCTTTAATAAGTTATCATAAACTTAGAGACTTAACCCAATTTTTAAATCTTATGATTCTGGAGATCAGATGTTCAAAATGGGTCTAAAATCAAGGTGTTTGGCAGGCTTTTCTTCTGGAGAATGTATGGGAAAAACTGTTTCTTTGACTTTTCCAGCTCCTAGGGGCCACAAACATTTATTGTCTCATGGCCTGTTCTTCCATCTTGACAGTGCATCACTTGAACCTCTGACCTTTGTTTCCATCCACATACTTAATTTTTTCTCTTTCTGAGTCTGATTCTTCCGCTCTCCTTTTGTAAGAGAGTTTGTGATTGCTTTGGGCACACCTGAATGATTATCTCCCATCTCAAAATTCTAAACTTAATCACATCTACACAGTCCCTTTGCTATGTAAAGCAACGTATTCAGAAGTTCCAGAGATTGGGACCTAGACATGTTTGGTGAGGGGAAAGGGATGATATTCTGCTTATCACACTGAGTATTTCACTCATCCTTTGTCCTGGACCCAGAATTTCCTTTCCCTTAGAAAGTTTCTCCTTCATAATCTAGATGAAATACTTCTTCCCCTGGAAGCCCTTTCCTTTGATTTCACCACACCCAGCCTGGAGCAGAATTAATTCATTCCTCCCTCTACTGTCTAAGCACATTATACTGAATAAATGGCAACAGGGCCAGCCTAATTAAATAGGTAAGCATTTGTTTCTTTAATGACCTGTCAGCCTTTTTTTATTAGACTCCATTGCATTGTCTTTGTGTCCCCACTGCATCGTAGCAAAACATCTTGTAACTAGTATATGCTCAATAAGTGTTTATGACATGATGGGTTTGAATATCAAAATTGAACTGCAGATAATAGCTAACTTTTCCTTTTTTTTTTTTTTTTTTTTTTCCAGCTAACATTCATTGAGCATTGGAAATAAAAAGTTGTATAAAACTTACATTGACCTTTCAGGGCCTTCCAGTCGAATGGAAAGCTGGTATACACAGAATATATAAGAAGAAAAGGATGTGAGTGTTAGCAGTATTAATTAATTAGTAGTTCTTAAAATAATAATAAAAATAATAACAATTAACTACAATAACAATAATACAAACAGAAGCTTGCCTGTAACCCCAGCACTTGGGGAGGCCAATGCAGGTAGATCACCTGAGATGAGGAGTTTGAGACCAGCCTGGCCAACATGATGAAACCGTGTCCCTACTAAAAATACAAAAATTAGCCAGGTGTGATGGCGGACACCTGTAATCTCAGCTACTTGGGAGGCTGAGGCAGGAGAATTCTTGAATCTGGGAGGCAGAGGTTATAGTGAGCTGAAATGGCACCACTGCACTCCAGCCTGGATGAAGGAGCAAAACTCAGTCTCAAACAAAAAAACCCAGGAAGCTTTAATTTGTTGTTCTTTCAATGTGCCAGTACTGTTCTAAGCACTGTGCTCTCTGTACTATTATAATACTTATTTTGCAAATGAGGAAACTAGTCACAGAGAGGTTATTTGTTCCAAATCACAGTTGGTAGGTGGCAAAGCTGGGATATATAGACTTTCTCCTCTTAACCATCACGATATGCTCATTCTGTATGAGGTTTACTAGTGGTTTATGTGAAGCCAAATGGTGAATGGTATTGATAGGAAACAGGCAAGTGTTTTCAGGTCCATTCATCCAGAAACTGAAGACTCTTGAAATTAGTTCACCAGTAGTATAAACAATAAAAAAAAAAAATCTCGGAACCTCACTAAATAATTATGTACAGTTTGTATTGCTATTTCTGGGTACACATTTTAATTATGCAACAAGGATGGCAAAGCTTGGATTTCTATGGCTAGATATATTTAATTTGGTTTTCAATTTAAGACACAATAAACGTCCTCAAAGAAGTTTGTAAAGATTATTGTAGATTGACTAAGATGTTTGGTCTCTGAAATTCTATGGGTTTCTTTTTGTTTTCCCTAATACACAAAGTTTCAAGAGATTCAATTAAGGATCCTGATATTACCAAATTGATGCTTTCCATACCAATTAATTTTAAGAAACAGAATTGCCAACTAGCTGTATGCTTTATATAAATGAGTAAGGAAATAGTATTTTGAACAGGAGTAAAGTAATAAGATTGTTAAGCTGAAAGGTCTTGCAGTGTATAGTTGGATCCTGGAGTTTCTTGGGCAGTGCTGATTAAACTCACACTGAGAGAGGAACTGATTCTCACAGCTAACCTGAAGGCTGAAGATACCAACTTGAAGATTTCCTGCAGCTCCAGTTAGTGTGGTGGCTGGAAAATGGGATTCGGGTTTTAGGAATGCATGACTCAGATTTGTACTTTAATGTGGCAGTTCATCAGATGTGTCTGGTGAATCAGCTCTTTGGACTAGGTTTCACTTATGTCTTAACATAAATTTAAGGTCTTTGCATAGAAAACTTTAACAGCTTATTATCCCTTAAAGGTGCTGCCATTAAAATAGATTATTCTTCACGCTATTTTACAAATTCACTGATTTTCTGAATAAAATGGTGATGGTGATACTTTGCTACAAGTGAATGGATTTTGCTTTTGTTTAGTGAATTAAAATGTGTTTTAACAGAGTTATTAATGTGAGTAAATTAATCAATATAAACCATTCAGAAGTATCTGAATGAGGCTCTGGGAGAACACAAAATGTGATAGTTTTGGCTTTCTCATCTTTAGTAAAGTTATAGTGATTGAAAGCTGGATATGATCAGTCCTCAAATGTCTTGCAAAGAAACTTGTGCTGTCATAAGTTGACAATATATTTGCACTGTATTGCGATTTGCCACTTTTTGAAAGTTGGCCTTTCAGCCCTATCTCAGTCTTATACAAAAAGAAAAGAAGCCAGGAGTAGAATGGTGGTTGCCAGGGGCTGGAATGGGATTAAGAAAAAAGGGGAGATGTTGGTCAGAGGGTTTAAACTTGCAGATATACAATGAGAACATTCTGGTGATCTAATCTATAGCATGTTGACTATACTTAATGATACTATATTGTGTACTTAAAATTTGTTGAGTGTAGATCTTAAGTCTTACGACACACAAAAACATACCAACTATGTCAGTTGAAGGATGTATTAGCTAACTTTATTGGGATAATTATTTCATTATATATGCATATCAAAACACATGGTACATTTTAAACATATACAACTTTGTGAATTATACCTCAATAAAGCTGAGACACAGAATGATGATTTTCTGGGAAGACAATGTTCATTTCTTTAATTTCAAATGAAATATCTCTCCTTTAGAAATCCAAACACACTAGGTCGGTGCCCCTTCTTGTATCCCTCTGCAAGCCTTATAATAGAAAAAAATAATTTTTTTTGGTAGCTTCATTGAGTGCTTTTTCCTCCTCCTCCTCCTTCTCCTCCCTCTCCCTTCGTCCTCCCTTCCTCCTCCCTTCCTCCTCTATTCCTCCTCTTCCTCTTCCTCTTTTTGGTTCAGTGTCTCACTTTGTTTGTCAGGCTGGAGTACAGTGACACAATCTCAGTTCTCTGCAGCCTTGACCTCCCAGGCTCACGCCATCTTCCTACATCAGCCTCCCAAGTTGCTGGGACTACAGGTGCACTCCACCATGCCCAGCTATTTGTGTGTGTGTGTGTGTGTGTGTGTGTGTGTGTGTGTGTTTGTGTGTGTGTGTGTGTGTGTGTGTGTGTGTGTTTTGTAGTAATGGGGGTTTTGCCATGTTGCCCAGGCTGGTCTCAAACTCCTGGGCTCAAGGGATCTGCCTACTTCAGCCTCCCAAAGTGCTGGGATTACAGGTATACGCCACTGTGCTTGGTCAGAGTGTACATTCTTTTAATAAAAACAAAAGTCTTAAAATTCTCTTAAAGTATCTTTAGAGGTTTTTTGAAAGAAAATATAAAATCACAATTAAATATTTGGAGGCATACAGTTTATGACTTAATCTCCATTGGAAAGAATGACACTGAATAGAATCACATTCTATTATACCATGGAATGTTAAAAATATCTGTTTGGATGATTTATGTGAAGATAAATTGTTAGTGAAATAATTCTTTTGAAGGGATCATTTCCATTTATTTAAATACAACTAGGGCCTTTAAATAAAAATAAAATCCAAAACCTCAAGTGAACATAAGATTTTAAAGCATTTTGGGGGTGACGGCTATAGAGACATAATTTTGGTATTACTGGATTTGATTGAACTTAGGAACCACAGGATATGGGAAAATATAATAGAAATCCTGTTTATCTTCTTTCCTTTTGTGTAATTAATTGCACCAATCATGTTTGATCAGTCATGAAATTTTTATAATATTGTTACCTAGTCTAGTTTTAAAACATGTATGTTTTTCTTAATCTTTGCTTTAGGGAATAGCCTTTAAAAGCTGGAAGATGAAAGCTCCGATTCCACACTTGATTCTCTTATATGCTACTTTTACCCAGAGTTTGAAGGTTGTGACCAAAAGAGGCTCCGGTAAGCAGTATTCCTCTATTTTTTTTTAACTGTTTTTTTAATAGCTTAAAGTGATAGTGCTACATTTACACATGTGTCATTTGTAGAAAAGTTGAGAATGATCAGTTATCCATATTGTAGAGATATTATGAGTAAATAGGTGGAGCACACTGATAAAGAATTAGAAAAGTGAGAGTGAATTCAAAAGAATGTGGCTTATTTTGTTAATTAGTATGAATTGGCATGGATTCAATAGCAAAAGCTTGTATTTAGATTTCATTTCGTTGTAGGATTTTTAAGTATTCTTATATAAACAGTGTTATTTAATTTTTTGCATGGAAATATTGTTGTATCATTGATGTTAACTTTTATTGTTACCATATTGATGTCAGCTATGCCTAGGGAAGGTTCTTTTCAGTCTTGTACTCCAGCTGATTTGATGAATTGCTTGGATGTATTTAAAGAAAACAGTAGTTTTATTGAAGAAAATGTTATGAGGAAGCACTAATATTTTAATAGGAAATATAGAGGCAAAGTAGAATGATAATGAAAGGAACTGCTAAATAGATTAATGTTGGCATTTATGAAAAACTTTACATGTTATCAGGCATCTTGGTTTGTAGTGGACTGTTGATACTTCAATTGTATGGGACAATTGAATAAATACCATTATCAATGTGAAGTTGTATCTTGTCTAGTAAGTCACTAATAATATAAAGCCTTGTCATGCTCACACCATGTGACGTCATGTTATTGTTGAAGTTATAGCTTTTAGGTGTAAAGGAAGAAGAAGGATATTGTGTTTTGTTGCTAGAATTAGAATGTATTGTCTGTTAGTTCCAGAGAGACTGTGGGGAAAAAGGAGACGAGATAATGTACAAGAGGTTGCAGTGTTGTGATATAAGCAATTGCATGGGCAAAAGAATCTTTGGCATTTAGAAAGTAAAGGGAATGAAAGGGCTGAGATGGGGCTGTGAAACTACCATCTTAGTCCTTGAGGTTAAAAAGCTTCAAACTCACTTTGATGATATAATGAAAAAGCCTACATGCAGGAGAAATAGGGAGCAGCTCTGCTCTTGTGAGCCCCTCCTGGGGATAAAGTTTGGAGGGAAATTGAGGAAGGCATTGTGCATGGACAAAGGTTTGGTGCATGGTTGAAAGTTAAAAAACAATACTGAGCCTCTTGGTTCTAGCATATTTGGTTATTATACAGCTGTTGTTATAGGCAATGTGAAAAAAATACTGTTTCTATGTCTACACATGATTTCATATCTTCTTCTCACTGGATCTTTTTGAATGAGATTAAACCCTATGGTAGGATTATGATATAGCGGTTTACGTAATTCCAATGGGTTAAAGGGAAATAACATATATCTTGATTTCTTTAATTGTACTATGCTCAAGTACAATTAAGCATAACCAAGAGAGTTAGAGTAGGTAGAAGGGGGAGTAAATAGTGATGAAAGCTGATAATTTACAACATTGATGTTTTCTGGAATCGAAATTTACATTATAATCACTTAACATAGATTTTTGAGACAGTAGCTATATAGGAGAGAAATACTCACTTGTATAAGTATTATAACAAAATGACAATAGTTCATCAGAAATAGAAATATCGATTAATTCTTTAAAAGTTTATTTTTCTGGTTACTACCCTTAATTACATAAAATCTGTTTTTCCAGTTCTTTCTGTGTATGTCAGATCTATGATTTATTCAAATAAAAATGTTATTCCTTTTTGATCATAATGTAATATGTCCATTCTATATAACCTCTGATTTGGGGGCAAGACATTTTATCAAACTGGGACTTCATTTAATATAAATGCAAATATTAAAATATCTCAAAAATCTGTGTTAAGTGATTTTATTGTAAATGTCTATTCTAGAAGACATCATTGTTGTAAAAATTGTCTGCTCTAAAGACTTGAGAAACCTCAATAATCTGTCTCAAATTCAGTTTTAATTTTATAATTATTTTAGAATAATGGTAATAAGATGCTGTAAGTTAAGCAGAAGTTCTGAGACCTCTTTTCAATTTATGAATACAGTTGTCACATAATTATGTAATATTTCCTAAACCAAATGTGTTTTCTATATTATAATGTAAAAAGGACAAGGCACGTATTGGGATATTGCAGCATGCTTGATTTGTTTACTTTTCTATATGATGTAAATTAACATACCTTCCCCTAGTTTCTATATTAAGATCCAGATGGATGGAGGCTTGTTTGTTTGATTTTTGGATATTAAATGTGCAGTTTGGGAATGAATAATATTGTTCTATCCATATACTTTCATAGCTTGCACTTATTTCAGCTGCTGTCTGTTCCCATGGCACCTTTGTTTGAGAGAAGCAGATATGTAGCTTACTGAATAGTGTCATTACTGATCTCCATACATCAAGTAGAAGACGATTGCACTTGGCATCTTTTCCTTAAAAGATTAATGGCTCAATCTTCACACCCAGCCCAACCTATAAAACCAGCAGCACCACAGCTAGGGGATAAAAATCAATTTTTGATGTTGATTTTGCATATTAACCAAGAGAACTTCTTATCTTTCTTCTTTCCTCTTATCATTTAATTCTTTTTTGATTCTTTATCTTATTAATCTTTTTGAAAGCTCAGTAGACATGATTCAAAACCTGAAGCTTTTCATGTGTCTTTTACTAGAATATTATTTTTAGTTCACTGTGACCATTAGAGAACCAGAACTAGATATTTTAATAATTAGGAATATATACAATATTATATTACACAGAGAAATACTGAATTTTTATGGCACGTTAATTTTGTATAGTGTTTGCTTTAGATTAGCACATATGGTCATTCCATAAAAATTTAAAAGTAGGTATTTGTTTTTCATTAACAGAGCTAATTTGAAAGCAATAGGAGTTCTTTTTACACAAGCTGGAAATGCATTATTTTTATCACATTGACTTACACTCCCTTGCTATTAATTTAAGGAAAAAATTAAGTATAGTAAGGCAGTTATATCAGTATAACATCCTTGACGGAAAAAATGCAACTTTGTAACATTTTGTTTTAAATATCACTTCAGATATGTACAGTATGTTAATGATAATTAAGAACTGAATCTGGTCTCTCAGGTAATGTCCTAAAGTTGTGCCTGCATTTAGAATCAAGACTTTTAATATCTATTGAGGCAGATAGTCAGCCTTCATTACACAATGGGCTTTATCCTGGGGCAATTCCAAACCTATTTTTTTAGTTTTTATAAGTAGCACTTGATGAAAGATGCTAAGACAACCAATACTACCAGTCCCCCTCAAGCATGTGAAGGATTATAGCAATTCAATAAGTAAACATTTCAGTTGCTGTCATTTGTAGAATTCTGAAAAACAAACAAACAAAAAGTAAAACACATGTACAGCAAATGCTTGCTGAGAGAATCTTTGTATCTCAACCAGTTGAGAAAATTTAGCTTTACATTCTTGTTCCATGGCCCCTTTCTTCCGTAATTATTTCCTCCCTTCTTTTTCTTTTTGTTCTTTCCTTCCTTCCTTCCTTTCTTCCTCCCTTCCTTCTTCTCTGTTAATATATTTATCTGCAAATACAAGGAGTTTATTTTCATATTTCCACTGTGTCTTGGTAGGACTTTTCAAACTATAAAAATATTATTATTATTTTGTCTGCATGGTTAAGGCATTTGAACGTATTTTTACATGACCATTCAAAGAGGTTAGCATAGCCTCTATTAATAATAGCTATTCTTAAATATATACATTTAAAAATTGTGTATAACTAAGAATCTGGAGTAAGATTTGGGAGCAGGGAAATAGTTTAAATAGTTGAAGGACAGTTATGGACAAAGTATGTCTGTAGCACTTTGGGGGGACTAAAGAGTGAGTTGTAATTTGAACAGTTTGGGATACTGAAGAAAAATGAAGCTGGAGAGGTCTGGATGTACAAATTAGGTAAGAGAAGGGGTTCCATGTTGGTTTGCTCTCAAAACATCTTCAGAATATAAGGCGATGAGCGCAAGGACGCTGATTAATGTGTACTTATAATCTCTACAGTGCCAAATGTGCTGTTTCAGAGTCAGGGTTCAAGGAAATGTCTTAATGAATTAATGACTGCATGAATGGGTGAGTGAGTGGTTTTAATATTCAGAATTACTTCGGTGAGGATGCTACAGGACCAAAACGATATAAGAAAGTTAAAGGTAAAATTAAGTAGAGGCATTTAAGAAAAATGTTTTTTTCTTAAAGAGCAATCAGTATAATATATAATGTGAGACTACTGAAGCAAAAGATACAACTCAGAATAAGCAATATCTAGGACATGATAAGGGTTTAGATGAAGATAATGAAAGTTTACAAATTGGGAGTGTTTTCATTGGGTTGAAATGCAGTTGAAAATCTGTTAAAGGGTAAGGAAAATGATTCTTCAAGTATTTTTCTATTGGAATTTTACTGCATTTAGCTCTGCTTTAAAGAAGTACTAATGTCATTGTGCAGAAGTTTTGGATTTAATGGTATTGTTCCATAATGGCCATTATGAAAAGCTTGAGCTCATGATTACTAATACAGGATAAATAATCAAGTGACTTCAGTATAGACAAAAAGTATTCAGTTATTAGAGCATATAGAGAAGAGGAAGTGGCTGCATTAACAAAAAGCACATGTTATTTTAGGAGGGATTTAAACTATATAAAAGCTCCCTAAAGCAGCCAGCTACTAGAGAGTAGAAGGGTTACCACAGGGAGTTGATATTCTCTTCATTCTAGAACCTGACAGGGGACACCTGTTTGTGTAAAATGATTTAGATGCAATTCTTCTTGACAGCAAGAGAAAGGCAAGCCTCAAGAGGATTTCCTAAACTTGTGACTCTAGGCCCTAATAATTTATAAAAAGTAGGAATAGCAAAATAACTAAAGACACAGTTTTGGTTCCAATTTTTGTGTTGTTACCTATGGATATTCATTTAAGTGAAAGAAATTATGCTACTGTGTAAAGAAAGTGAGATTTAACTGAATAGGAATGAGAAAGTCTAG